CCGGTTTAACCCACGTAGGGCCCACACCAGGAGGGGACTTGGCTGAGGAGCGTACGGGGAAGGGTGTCACACCTGGGCGTTTGGCTCTGCAGGTGCTGTGGCCGAAAGAGGCTCCTACAGGGGGAAGCCTCACGCCCAGACCCCCGCCCCTCTCCGGGCCAGCGCTCAGGGGCACTCGGGGCGTCAGTCCCAGTGTCTTGGGCATCCTGGCTGTAGGCGAGTGTGTGCAGAGGAAAGCTCCTCTCACATTTTGTAGGGGTGCGCCCTGTGCACGGCCACGACCTCTCACGGAGCGCCAGAGCCTATATGGAGACCTATTCCGAAAGACTCCTCAAACCGATCCACTCGGCTTATCTCTAATCTTCACTCCATGGTGGCCCAGGGGTAGGGGCGCTACCCACCTGTTTCTCAGGTCCCAAACATGGGGTTATACTGGAATTCTACAGTGGATCCATCCACAAGGCTCGTCCACCCAGTTCAGCCACTGCAGCGAGCCTTCCTGGCTTGGATGGCCCCAGGCTCCTCCCTTGATGCTTTCTCCACACATAGCGAGAGGGACCGTGTCATTCCGCTGCTGGGAACCACAAGATGGCTTCCCCATTCCCTCCAACACAGTTTCGGACCTCGGGCTTTGCACGTGCAGTTTCCACTGGCCCTCCTGAGTGTCTGTCCGTTTGACTGCCCCTTGCCCTCCTTCAGCAGGGTCATCCTTTCATCCACTGGACACGCACGATCCCTCCAGTGTGCCGGCCCTGTGCTATGACCAGGGACCGAGCTGTAAGAGAACTCCTGCCCTGTCACCATGGAGTGGGGGCAGGCGTGAGTAAGGACACAACACGGGGTCTTGGAGAAAAGCAAAGTATAACAGGGGGCTGGAGGAAGTGTGGGATGGGAGCTGCTTTGTGGGGCCAAGAGGAGATGGAGAATTTGCCACTGGGAAAGAAGTGACGGAAGCGAGGGATGGACTCTTGTCACTGAGTGAGGAAAGCCCAGCAGGCCCAGCCCCTGCAAGTGCAAAGGCCCTGAGGTTGGACTGGGCTTTCCGCTTTCACTGGAGGAAAAAGGGGTGCCATTTTGCTATGTTGAGCACAGGACTAGACAGGCTGGGCTGGGACCCAGACAAGGCTGGTGGCAGCTTGGTGGCCTTCACATCTAGAAGGATTTGGCACGATTGTCCGGGAAGGAGCAGCTTTAGAATTGACCAGGCATGGGGTTTCTGAAGGGGTAGATCTGAGGTCACCGGGCGCTGGGCAGGCCCTGGTGGCACTGAGCATAGGTTGCGTTTCATTATCTTTGCTCATCCTAACAAGGCAGGGCTCCTGGTGATCCCTGACAGGGCCGGAGCCCCTGGGCTGTGCATCCTGCAGACTCCC